TGAAAAATTAAAATATCTGATTTGTGCTGAAGTCATTAGCTCACATGTAAAGGACCCCCACCCCCCTCATATTTCCGTTTGAACATTGCAAACACTTTTTTTCTCTCCTTTTTTTTTAACAATAGCTTTAACTGGTACAAAAGTTCTCTGTTAATAAGGGAAATAAACACTCCGTTCAATATTGTTTGTCAAGTAGGAATCAATGTTCAAATATAATGTTATTACTTTGTTTAGCAGCCTGTTACTGTATTAATGGTGATAAGTGGGGTAACATCCAGCGATGAGTGACAACATGTCATAACTGTCAGGTTGTGGTTTCTTATACTGAGAGTGATGCTCCCTTGGAGTTAAACCTTTACAGTTAAAATATTTAGATTCTTTCTTTATACAGTAGAGTTTTTACTTTAATTCTCTTGTTATTTTTCATTACTCTTGCACGTTTTCTCTATTATCAATCCTCGTCCCCATCGTCCGCCTGCATCTCCTCTTGTTGCTGCAGCTCGCATGCCCTTTTCTCCCGCTGCTTCTCCTGGATCTTCTTCATCTCCTCGGCGTATTTACAGAAAGTATTCCCGAATTTGGACCACACTTTGTAGGGCACCGTGATAGAGTTGCGGTAGGTGGGCTTCACCTCGCTCACCCTCATAAACACGCCGTACTTATTGGAGCCGACGTCGAAGAAAAACCGCTTGTTGTCCACAGTCAACGACGATCCCTCCGGCAGCTCCGCGGGCTCATCCTCTACGCCGTAATCGTCAATAAGTTTAGCCAGAGCGTCGCGAAACTCAATAAGTCCCTGTGCGGGCAGAGCGATCGTCTGGCCTTGCGTCGATCCCAACCCGGGCCCCCGGTTAACGGTCTGTCTGATCCGCAGAAACCGTCCTCTCTGGTTCTCTTTCAGATCCATATAGTATTTCCGATTCTCCCGGACCAGGAACTCACTTTTCAGCGCCCGCCTGGGTTCGTCCTGTACCATCCCAGGGTTGCTTGGTCCCAGCTGGGCGTAGTGCTCGATGAAGTCCCCCAAGTAGTCTCGGAACTCGACCGCCACGGACATGGAGAGAGTGAGGCGGCTCTTGTTTCCGCCGGCCCCGACTTCGGCTATCTTCAAGAAGCGGCCCTTCGCGTTCTGTTTAACGTCCAAATAGAAGCGCTTGTTCTGGATGTCGACCCGCTTTGACGCCAGCTCCTGCGTCTCATGCTGTAGCCCGGAAGCCGAGCCCGCCCCTCCTGCCGCTAGGTGCATGGAGCCGAAGCCTGGGCCCGTGGCCGCTCCTCCCTGCTCACTTCCACTGTCTCTGTCCGCCATGATGCTGCCTGCCTGCCTCGCCTGCCTTCTCCCTCCGTCTGCTGCAAAGCCACGGCCAGCTGAGCCCGTGCTCGGAGCTCTCGCGAGATCTACACAGAGGTATAAAACAGCGAGGAAAGGGAAAGGGAGGGTGCGTTAATGCAGATCGAATGCTGCTGCTGAGTTCTCCATCTCCCGGTGTTTTCCTAATGTCAGGAGCTATCTTTTCGCTTCAAGAGAAACGAAACTTACGAATTCCACAGATTAATATCAGTTTCGATTCTTCAGGAACTTGACGAAAGAACAGGTACTTTTTCTTTGTGGGAAGACCCCACTTTCTTTTTCTAATGCTGATTACCTGAAAAGCATTTGATGCCACGAAACTATATATATATATATATATATATATATATATATATATATATATATACACACCCTGTGGGCACATTAAGGCAAAAATAAATAAATAAAAAAATTAAAAATTAAATCGTCAGTCTAATCATGTCTGTTTTCCGGCGGCAGAGATGTGGCGTTCTGTGTTTGCAAAACAGATTAGCCCCACCTCTCTTGTCCAGTAAAGAGTCAGCAGGATGACTTATTATGAAATTATAAATATTCTCCATTTATAATTAGGGAATCTTCAGACACTTCCATAATGATCTTGGCATGGCTATAGTGAGTCATTAAGTCACTTTCTCTAAAAACAAGTCAAAGCAAGAAATTAGCAGAATCCGACAGTCTGATTCGGTACGTTCATTCAGGTGCCCCTCCATTTTAAACTGAACAGTTATGGTACGCTTGTAACCTCAACCCGCGCTTTAGGAAATAAAAAACCTTATTTATTTTAATATTTACTTTAAAGCCAACAGAGCCTGCCGCCGTATTGATATTGGCTGTTGCCACGTTGCTTGGGCCCTTTAATCAGCACAGAGGCCTCTCTCCTCCCCGCTGTTTGGCCGCACATCGTTTACGAGCCGTTCTCTATACATGCGGGCTTTCCAGACTCACGAATCAGGTGACAGATCTTTCTTTGTAAATGTCTGCTGAGTGACACCACACGCCCTGCTGTGCAGTTGAACCACGACCAGTAGCATTTGTCACAGTTAAGTCACATTTTGGCAAAAGGCGCGGTCAACTTTGAATGAAGGTATTCATATTCAAAAACTGTTACCAGCGTGATAAGTAATTTGTATATTTGTTGTCTAAACTAGCTAACTGGGCGACGTATCTCCTTCATAGCACACACAAAAAAGAAAACTAAAAATAAATAAATAAATAATCTGCAGCCTATAGACGCTGTTCTACCCCCCTTTGTCGACGGACGCGTAGTAACTGGAGCACTTTTTTTTTCTGCACACTGTCGCACCCAACTATTCAACTAGAACTAATACAACTTTTATAACAAAATGAAACAACAACAAATAACTAAAAATGTTATATATATATATATATATATATATATATATATATATATATATATATATATATATATATATATATATATATATATATATATATATATATATATATATAGGGGAAAGTCGTCTTTTTCTGCCAGTCTAATAAAAGCATCTACCGTAAATAAAAATATTAGGTTGAAAAATATACATAGCTGTTTCTGGTCCACTACATGATTAACCGTTGGTTAATTTTTATTTGAAATATTTTAAATGTGTTTTAAATGCACTTTTAAGCAGATGTTTTTGCCGTGCTTCAATTCATGTTCAAATAAAATTCATTTCTGAGAATAAAACAAAGGATAACAATAGTAGATCACATCGCCAACAGGCCGATTCACTGAGTTGAATAAAATGTATATGAAGTGTGTGAGCACCGACACAGGAGATTAAAATTATTTAATAAATAAATAAATAAATAAACGTGATTATTTTTTGGCCCAAACATTGACTATGTGGTCACCGTCTCCTCTTTTTTTCTCCTTTTCACATTTATCTGTTAATATAAGTTACTTTCAATAATTATAGCAATCAAAAATTTTACGTACATCGAAGGCCATGTCATAAAAGAGTAATTCAGTATTTTCTATTGAAAGGAAATATTTATGTACACTTTCCCTAACTACTTTGAAGGTCCCTAACATTCAAACAATACTGCTAATTGCTTAGATATGAAACGTTTTTCACAGTTTTATATCCAAAATTGGTTTTAAAAATTTTTTAATGAGGAATAAAATATTAAGCAAAAGATTTAAAAAATTACAAAATTACAAAAAAACACAAAATAAATATTTTTAAGAGCAAATAATTATTTTTGCTACTCAGAGCAATAAAAATTTTGATATTGTAAAATGCACTTTTAAGTGATGGCTCATTCATATATATATGTTTTATCAATGGAAGTCTATGCAAGTAAGTAAAATAAATTAATAACTCGATGTCTGAATTAAAATTTTAAGATGCGCTGCGTCTGTATGTTGAAGGCCTATAGAGAGATTTGATCAGTTTTCTTTTGTTAAGTTTCCTTATTTAACCTTTATTTAACCTTTTCATACCTGCATCTTTCTAAATCCCATTCTAAAATATTACGTGGCGTATTAATATTTTAGAGTGCGAAAACGCTCGTTTTATACTGGATGTTGTCCAAGAATGATCCGTGAAGCAGGTATAAAATGAAACATTATACTTTCCGTGTTAAAATTGTTAATTATGACAAGGCATCAGATATTTATTTATTTATTTATTTATTTTAGTTTTAAAAAAAATACGTGTATTGTTTTTAAACGTTTACATAACCTACAATAAGCGGGATTTTTTTTTTACATTTATTATTTAATTTATTTATTTATAGAAGACAACTGTGACATACATTATTCTAATTGTTGTGTAATTAACGTTTCTCAAGCGTATAACTTCGGTTTTATGAACGCCGCGACGTTTTGCCCACTGCACATAAACTGGGCAAGGAAACAACCAAACTTCAGCAGAGTTTTGGATCCAAAAACCTGGTCAACATATTTGTTTCACAGATCCTGCATTTTATTCCCCCTCCCTTCTTCCTTGCTTTCTTTCCTTGCTGGCTGATTCATTTACTGCTCCAGTATACGAACAACCAACCTATCAACTTATTTACATGCTGTCAGTGGCTCACCTAATATTTATGGAGGTATTTTTTTTTTTTTTAATGGTGGACAAAAAGTATTTCCATTCGGATCCAAAACGGGCTTCTGTCTCAGTAATAAGGTGCTGTCGCAGTTAGTGGAAGCCAGCCCCCGTAATCTGCTCACAAAGTTTTGCCCTACATCCATCCCAGCACTGAAATGCTGCGTGGCGACGCTCCAGACGACAGCTCCGTCGCTGCTCCCGATCAGCCATATGTTGAGATGTCATGCTTTGGAAACTCTGCAGAGCGCTGTCATATGCTTGGTCGCACGTCAGGGCACTTAGACAGGACGGCTACAATATCCCAAATCGCAACTATACGCACAGAATTTCGTTCCACAGACCGTGGCATTCCTGCTGTAACCTTACCTTTCTTTCCCCACCGCAGCTCCGTCTGCGGGGCTGAGGGCCTTTTACAACCTGGACAGCGCAACCCAAGCGGCGAGACGAGGCGGAGGACTCATGGACAGACGCTCGGACGGCCCCTTCTTTAGCAGCACACAACACTGCATCTGCCTGCTTCACAAGATGGACCAGAAACGGCGAGTCGTGGCACGCCGAACGACACACGCACAAGTTCGGCGCCGCACGTTGTGCCGCTGATGTCAACACGTAAAGTGGTGAACGACGCCTCACTTTGGTGGAGGAGATGAATTGCAGGCTTTGCTTGAAAATGGTAACAGGTAGGTAGGAAATATGCATAAAGGTGAGGGGTACTTGTAAATTGTAAATTTTTGAGCTTTTTAATGTTAATTTACGTCACCTTCTAGTGAGAATTATTCTACATTCTCCTGCATTTCCTGAGGATATTGTAATGCTTTAGTGTTCAGGCTACATGATACCCAAAACAAAATATAATTTTGGGTGTCCACAGTTAAGTCTGCCAGTTCCTACCACTCCACTTGTCTAAAAATTTGTACTAATCTAATTTATTGTGAAGCACATTTAGCAAGTTTGCCCAAGGTGCTGCACAATAATAAAATAGATTAAAAAAAAGTTTCAAAGTTTAGTAGCCAAAACAGAAAAGGTCAGATCTACTCTATATCTCCATTGACTCTTATTTTTTTTTTTGGGGGGGGGGGGGGGGGGGGGGCCATGAAAATCCACCGGTACAGCGTTTTGGGGGGCTTGGGGGGAGG